TACATTTTATTCAAGAATTGGATATAGTCAACATATGAATAGTTGCATTAAAACAGCTGATGAGGATGATAGCCAAATGCTGAATCCTTATAGTAATAGACAAAGTTTTACAAAAGATTTTAAACAAATTCAAGATTATGAACCTAGTAATGATAATTCAGCTAACTTATTTTTTAGCTCATTTAAAAATAAATCATTTAGTTCTAAAAAAATTTCTATAAGTAGTATTAAGTTTGGAAATCAAGCACATAAATCTACAGAGCAAATTAGCCAAATTTCGAAAAACTTTAAAATAGAAGATGATATGTCTTTTGAATTAGAAGATGAGAATAATATGAGTTTTGAGATTGCCAATAATAATGAAGAATTTTTTGAAATTCTTCAAGATAATTTGCAGAATTATAAAAATATAGCTGAAGAAATAGAAGCTTCTAAAAATCTCGATGAATTTTTTTGCTTAGATGAAGATAATTCTAATAAATTTAAAGATTTTCCTAATGAAGCATATGCAGATTTAATGGCTTTGGTTACTAAGTTTAAACTGAGTAATGCAGTAGGAAATGCTATTATTAAATTTTTTAATAAGCATTCAAAACATTCAAAATCACCATTGCCAAGTAATATTTCACAAGGCAAAAAATATATGAACAATATGGAATCAGATTTGTCTTATAAAAAGACTTGTGTATTAAAACATAATGATTCTGAATATTTTCTTCATCATATACCATTACTTAAATGTATTAAAAATATTTTGAAAATTCCTGATATAGTTCAAAATTTTGTGTTGGATTATGAAGAACTTAGTAAAATTTCAGAAGTATGTTTTATATTTTATATTATTTTAATCCTTTAAATTTACTTATAAATTTTTTTTTATAGAACGGTAAAGAAATTTGTTATAGAGAACAAAATAATGGAATATGGTGGAAATCTACACAAAATTCTTTGCCTATTGGCTCTAAAATTTTATCTATTATTTTGTATTCTGATGCAACAAATTGTGGTAATTTGGGAAAAAGCCAACTTCATCCTATATACTTGTCTCTTGGTAATATACCTACTTGGAGAAGAAACAAGCAAGATGCAAAGCAACTTTTAGGATATTTACTGATAATAAAATCATCTTCTGGTATAGACAAAACTATAGTTAGAAAAACATTTCATAAATGTTTAGAAATAATTTTAGAACCAATCCGATCTTTATCAGAAAGTGGTATTGATTTATTATTTGGTGACAAGTATATTTGGTTTTTTCTAAAAATTTCAACTATAATTGCAGATTGGCCTGAGGCTGCAACATTTTGTTTGACATATAAGTCAACAAATTCCAAATGCCCATGTCATTTTTGTTTAATTGACAGAGAGGATCTTGCTAATTTGAAGATTTCTAAAAATAAATTAGAATTTAGAACTCATAAAAATATGCAAAATTATTTTAAAAATAATGAAGAAAATTCAGTATCTATTGAATCAGTAGAAAATTATTTTTGGACATTCAAGTAAGTATAATTTATTAAAATTTTGCAAAATTATAATTTTATGTTTATATATAAATTTCAATTTTCACAAATTTTCACAAATTTTTGTAATATTGTAAATTTATACATTTATATATAAAATTTTAATTTTTACAAATTTTGTAATTTTATGTTTATATATAAAATTTTAATTCTTGCAAATTTTTATAATTTTATATATTTATATATAAAAATTTTAATTACTATATTATTAAAATTTTAATTTCAGTAATATTAATATTTATGAAGCTACCGTAATTGATAGAATGCATCATTTAGATTTGGGATTATTTAACTATCAAATTACTCATACTTGTGATCTTTTAAAATCCAAATATGGACATTTAATATTAGATAAAATAAATAATAGATTAGCAAATATTCCAAGATATTCTGGATTAAAAATATTTAAAAATGGAATACAAACTGCTAATACAGCAAATGAATATCGTAATCTTATGAAAATTATGATATTTGTTTTAGATGATTTGACTGAAGATAATTCTTTAAACAAAAATTTAATGAAAGTTTATGAAGATTGGAATAATATGTATCTTATGAGTAGATATGAAGAGTTTAGTAAAAAAGATTTAGAAACTTTTGAGGTAATTTTATTATTTTTAAATAAATTAAAAATTTTAATATTAATTAATATAATTTATTTTTATTTAGATTTTAATAATAAATTGGGCACAACAATTTATTAATCTTTTTCAAAAATTTTCTCCATCAGGATTTAAACTTCCAAAATTACATTCATGGGTTTATCATACAATAGATTTAATTAAAAAATATGGACCTTTGAATGGATTTTCTACTGAAACATATGAAAGTCTTCATAAAGATTTTGTTAAAAGACCTTATTATTTAACAAATAAAAAAGATATAGAAATTCAAATATTAAAAATGGTAAGTATTTAATTTTATAATATTTATTTTATTTAAATATAAAATTTAAACTTAATTTTAATTAATTTAAATTAAATAGATTCAAAGACAAGATATTATAACAAAATTATCTGCCAAATCAAATCAAAATACTAAAATTATATATCCTTTTAAATTTAAAAATTTAATTTGGAAATTTAATTTAAATAATGCTCAAGAATTTATTAATGAAGAGTTAAAAAATAATAATTTAAATTCAAAATTACATTTTGGATTAAATAATTTTTTAAATTATTTAAATAAGTATTTTAGTTTATTAGAACAAAATGATTTAAATAATAGTATAGTTAAAATATATAGTTCAGTAACTATACAAAATGGATTAATAATTCATGCAACAAATGATTATTATGGAAAAGCTTGCTATAGCAATGTAGCTGTTGCTATGAATTTTGAAGAATTATCCGAATATTTATCAGATCAAGGAATTTGTTATGGACAGGTATAAAATTTAATATTTTATTATAAATATTTATAATTATAATTTAACTTTAATATTTAATTTTAGATATGCTTGTTAGCAAAAATTGAATTAGAAGCTAAAATATTCAATTTAGCATTAATTCAATGGTATGATTTTAAATCTAAGAAAAATCCATTTTTTTATGGATGTCCTAGGCTTCAATTAACTGAATTATATAATATAATTGATATTGAAGCAATTAAAGATAATATTCATATGATTTCAAGATTTGATAAAAATAATGAACATTTAGTAAATAAATATATTTTTTAATATAGATTAATTTAGAAATATTATAATTATTTAAAATAATTATAATAAATAAATATATATTCTGATTTTGCTATATTAATAAAAATAACAGATTAGAGAAAGCTTTCAAAAAATGTAATATATAAATTAAATATTATATAAAAAAATTTTCTAAAACAATTAAGTAGTAGATCGCAGTTGAAGGGTATAAATTTCATAGTAAAAATAGGCAGAAAATTACTATTACTTTTATATAATGTTGGAATGCCGAAAGTTTCTGGCATTATGTAAAAATCATATAATTTAGTTATAAAGGAGAAAATGTCAATAGCTCACGATCTACTGAACCAATTTGAATAATCTACCACTATTAGAACCAGAATGACTTGTTATATAAT